AATAGGCAGTCCACCTGAAAAAGAATTCAGAGTAATGATAGTAAAGATGATGGAAAAATCTTGGAAATAGAATAGAGAAAATACAAGAAATGTTTAACAAGGACCTAGAAGAACTAAAGAGCAAACAAACAATGATGAACAATACAATAAATGAAATTAAAAATTCTCTAGAAGGAGTCAATTGCAGAATAACTGGGGCAGAAAAACGGATAAGTGACTGGGAAGATAAAATAGTGGAAATAACTACCACAGAGCAGAATAAAGAAAAAAGAAAGAAAAGAATTGAGGACAGTCTCAGAGACCTCTGGGACAACATTAAATACACCAACATTCGTATTATAGGGGTCCCAGAAGAAGAAGAGAAAAAGAAAGAGAGAAAATATTTGAAGAGATTATAATTGAAAGCTTCTCTAATATGGGAAAGAGAACAGTCAAGTCCAGGAAGCAAGAGAGTCACAGGCAGGATAAATCCAAGGAGAAACACACCAAGACACATATTAATCAAACTATCAAAAGTTAAATACAAAGAAACAATATTAAAAGCAGCAAGGGAAAAACAACAAATAATATACAAGGGAATCCCCATAAGGTTAACAGCTGATCTTTCAGCAGAAACACTGCAAGCCAGAAGGGTGTGGCAGGACATATTTAAAGTGATGAAAGGGAAAAACCTACATCCAAGATTACTCTACCCAGCAAGGATCTCATTCAGATTTGACAGAGAAATTAAAACCCTTACAGATAAGCAAAAGCTAAGAGAATTCAGCACCACCAAGCCAGCTTTACAGCAAATGCTAAAGGAACTTCTCTAGGCAGGAAACACAAGAGAAGGAAAAGACCTACAATAACAAACCCAAAACAATTAAGAAAATGGTCATAGGAACATACGTATTGATAACTACCTTAAATGTAAATGGATTAAATGTTCCAACCAAACGACATAGACTGGCTGAATGGATACAAAAACAAGACCTGTATTTATGCTGTCTACAAGAGACCCACTTCAGACCTAGGGACACATACAGACTGAAAGTGAGGGGATGGAAAAAGATAGTCATGCAAGTGGAAATCAAAAGAAAGCTGGAGGAGCAATTCTCATATCAGACAAAGTAGACTTTAAAACAAAGACTATTATGAGAGACAAAGAAGGACACTACATCATGATCAAGGGATCAATCCAAGAAGAAGATATAACAATTGTAAAAATTTATGAACCCAACATAGGAGCACCTCAATACATAAGGCAAATGCTAACAGTCATAAAAGGGGAAATCGACAGTAACACCATCATAGTAGGGGACTTTAACACCCCACTTTCGCCAATGGACAGATCATCCAAAATGAAAATAAATAAGGAAACACAAGCTTTAAGTGATACATTAAACAAGATGGATTTCATTGATATTTATAGGACATTCCATACAAAACCAACAGAATAGAGTCCCTTCTCAAGTGATCATGGAACATTCTCCAGAATAGATCATATCTTGGGTCACAGATCAAGCCTTGGTAAATTTAAGAATATTGAAATTGTATCAAGTATCTTTTCTGACCACAACGCTAGGAGACTGGATATCAATTACAGGAAAAAAATCTGTAAAAAATACAAACACATGGAGGCTAAACAATATGCTACTAAATAACCAAGAGATCACTGAAGAAATCAAAGAGGAAATCAAAAAATACCTAGAAACAAATGACAATGAAAACACGATGACCCAAAACCTATGGGATGCAGCAAAAGCAGTTCTAAGAGGGAAGTTTATAGCAATACAATCCTACCTCAAGAAACAAGAAACATCTCAAATAAACCTAACCTTGCACCTAAAGCAATTAGAGAAAGAAGAACAAAAACACCCCCAAAGTTAGCAGAAGGAAAGAAATCATAAAGATCAGATCAGAAATAAATGAAAAAGAAATGAAGGAAATGATAGCAAAGATCAATAAAAGTAAAATCTGGTTCCTTGAGAAGATAAACAAAATTGATAAACCATTAGCCAGACTCATGAAGAAAAAAAGGGAGAAGACTCAAATCAATAGAATTAGAAGTGAAAAAGGAGAAGTAGCAACTGACACTGCAGAAATACAAAGGATTATGAGAGATTACTACAAGCAACTATATGCCAATAAAATGGACAGCCTGGAAGAAATGGACAAATTCTTAGGAAAGCACAACCTTCCGAGACTGAACCAAGAAGAAATAGAAAATATAAACAGACCAATCACAAGCAGTGGAATTGATACTGTGATTAATAATTTTCAAACAAACAAAAGCTCAGGACCAGATGGCTTCACAGGCAAATTCTATCAAACATTTAGAGAAGAGCTAACACCTATCCTTCTCAAACTCTTCCAAAATACAGCAGAGGGAGGAACACTCCTAAACTCATTCTACTAGGCCACCATCACCCTGATACCAAAACCAGACAAAGGTGTCACAAAAAAAGAAAACTACAGGCCAATATCACTGATGAACATAGATGCAAAAATCCTCAACAAAATACTAGCACACAGAATCCAACAGCACATTAAAAGCATCATACACCATGATCCAGTGGGGTTTATCCCAGGAATGCAGGGATTCTTCAATATACGCAAATCAATCAATGTGATAAACCATATTAACATATTGAAGGAGAAAAACCATATGATCAAATTGAAGGAGCAAAACCATATGATAATCTCAATAGATACAGAAAAAGCTTTTTACAAAATTCAACACCCATTTATGATAAAAACTCTCCAGAAAGTAGGCATAGAGGGAACTTACCTCAACATAATAAAGCCCATATATGACAAACCCACAGCCAACATCGTTCTCAATGGTGAAAAACTGAAACCATTTCCACTAAGATCAGGAACAAGATAAGGTTGCCCACTCTCACCACTAGTATTCAACATAGTTTTGGAAGTTTTAGCCACAGCAATCAGAGAGGAAAAAGAAATAAAAGGAATCCAAATAGGAAAAGAAGAAGTAAAACTGTGCAAATAGGAAAAGAAGAAATAAAACTTTTCCAAATAGGAAAAGAAGTAAAACTGTCATTGCAGATGACATGATACTATACATAGAGAATCCTGAAGATGCTACCAGAAAACTACTAGAGCTAATCAATGAATTTGGTAATGTATCATGATACAAAATTAATGCACAGAAATCTCTTGCATTCCACTGCCAATTACCACTGCAACAAAAAGAATAAAATACCTAGCAATAAACTTATCAAACTATGAATGACATTTTTCACAGAAGTAGAACAAAAAATTTTACAATTTGTATGGAAACACAAAAGACCACGAATAGCCAAAGCAATCTTGAGAACGAAAAACGGAGCTGGAGGAATCAGGCTCCCTGACTTCAGACTATACTACAAAGCTATAGTAATCAAGACCATATGGTACTGGCACAAAAACAGAAATAGAGATCAATGGAACAGGATAGAAAGCCCAGAGATAAAATCATGCACATATGGTCACCTTATCTTTGATAAAGGAGGCAAGAATATACAATGGAGAAAAGACAGCCTCTTCGATAAGTGGTGCTGGGAAAACTGGACAGGTACATGTAAAAGAATGAAATTAGAACACTTCCTAACACCATACACAAAAATAAACTCAAAGTGGATTAAAGACCTAAATGTACGGCCAGACACTATAAAACTCTTAGAGGAAAACATAGGTACAGAACTCTTTGTCATAAATCACAGCAAGATCCTTTTGACCCACCTCCTAGAGAAATGGAAATAAAAACAAAAATAAACAAACGGGACCTAATGAAACTTAAAAGCTTTTGTACAGCAAGGGAAACCATAAACAAGACGAAAAGGCAACCCTCAGAATGGGAGAAAATATTTGCAAACAAAGCAACTGACAAAGGATTAATCTCCAAGATATACAAGCAGCTCATGCAGCTCAATATCAAAAAAACAAACTACCCAATCCAAAAATGAGCTGGAGACCTAAATCGACATTTCTCCAGCAAAGACATACAGATTGCCAACAAACACATGAAAGGATGCTCAACATCACTAATCATTAGAGAAATGAAAATCAAAACTACAATGAGGTATCACCTCACACCAGTCAGCATGGCCATCATCAAAATATCTACAAATAATAAATGCTGAAGAGGGTGTGGAGAAAAGGGAACCCTCTTGCACTGTTGGTGGGAATGTAAATTGATACAGCCACTATGCAGAACAGTATGGAGGTTCCTTTAAAAACTAAAAATAGGACTATCATATGACCCCGCTATCCCACTACTGGGAATATACCCTGAGAAAACCATAATTCAAAAAGAGTCATGTACCACAATGTTCATTGTAGCTCTATTTACAATAGCCAGGACATGGAAACACCCTAAGTGTCCATCGACAGATGAATGGATAAAGAAGATGTGGCACTTATGTACACTGGAATATTACTCTGCCATAAAGGGAAACGAAACTGAGTTATTTGTAGTGAGGTGGATGGACCTAGAGACTATCATACGGAGTGAAGTAAGTTGGAAAGAGAAAAACGAATACCGTATGCTAACACATATATATGGAATCTAAAAAAAAAATGTTCTGAAGAACATAGGGGCAGGACAGGAATAGAGACACAGAGGTAGAGAATGGACTTGAGGACACGGGGAGGGGGAAGGGTAAGCTGGGTCGAAGTGAGAGAGTGGCATGGACATATATACACTACCAAATGTAAAATAGATAGCTAGTGGGAAGCAGTCACGTAGCACAGAGAGATCAGCTCGGTGTTTTGTGACCACCTAGAGGGGTGGGATAGGGAGGGTGGGAGGGAGATGTAAGAGGGAGAGGATATGGAGATATATGTATACGTATAGCTGATTCACTTTGTTATGCAGCAGAAACTAACACACCATTGTAAAGCAGTTATACCCCAATAAAGATGTTATATATAAAAAAGAAATCTTTGGCACTGATAATAATAAGATGCACGCAGGATGAGACATGGCTTCCCGAGTTTCTTTGCATGCAAATACTTACAGTGTTTCATTATTTGGTCTCCTTGCTGTGCTTTCACATTGTTTGGAAAAGTTTTTAAAAATGGAAAATGAAAAATTCTGCCTGAAAGAGGTAAAAACAAACAACCACAGTTGAGCTTTTGGTTTTTAAACTAAACCTGATCATGTCTATTTATGCTCTGTTCATCCAAATTCGCTACTTATTACATCAGCCTCGTGTTCTGCACCATTGTCCTATCTGAAACGCTTCCTGAGAGAGAGTAAAGGCTTCTGAATTATCATTAGCATGCTTCCAGCTTAGATAAGATGCTTTTGAATGCTAAGTTTTTTTGTGTGGGCTCTAGAGATGAAAAAAACTTAAATGTATCCCATTGAATCACGGATTTTTCAATGCTCATTTAAAGCTATCTTCGTGGCGTATTAAGGTTTGCTCCTCACTGCTCTCCTCACCACACCGGCCTCGATGAACAAGTAACCATTCAAAATCCATGGCTTTGAATTATAACTGGGAATCTCTTTTGTAAAGATTTGAAGATTCTGGACCTGACATTATGATGTGAATTTTCTGCTTTTTTGGATTATGTGCAGAAATATAATGTGGTTGCTCCCTATTCATTCATGTTTCCCTCTAAGAAATTTAGCCTATGGAAAGGGGCAAATGTCAAGAAATTAAAAGAAGGCTGTACTTATATTATTCCTAAGATGAAACCAAAGGGAGGAACAAAGGAAAACTGGGTGAAGAAATAGCGGGAAGGAGAGCGGGCTGTGCGAACCTCAGGAGGAGGCAATCCAGAATGCATATTTCTATGTATTATTCTTCTCCAGGATTAATAAGACAGTTCCTTATAGGAATGACTTTGTGTAAAAGCAGGAAGGTGGAGAATATATAAGAACTATCTGAGCTTCTGGACTCACTTTCAAAAATTAATCAGCTTGTTACTTTGCATGAGAGATAGAGAGAGGGAGTGAGAGAGAGAGATTGTGTGTGTGTTCGATGCTGGCTCTGTATCTGATACTTAGAGACACTCTGTGTGAACCAGTCTACAGTTAACAGGAAATGTGGTTGTTCTTGGCCTTCAGATAATAGCACTGGGTTCTGTCTACTGTATCTTTTTTGAAATTTTAATCATAGATACCAAGGAGAGTTTGGGGGCCATCTGCCTAGGCAGCTGTGTGCGTTATCCACACAGCAGCTGCAGGGCAGAGGGGTGACCCAGAGTTTGCACAAACAGTCCGCTGACCCAGCTTCAGGCTCTCCATCCTCACTAACATCCAAGGTTTCTAGCTTTAGAGATAGAGAGGGAGTCAGTTGAAGCTTGTAATTCCAATCAAGACAACCTCTGTGTGACTGCATTCCCATCTCACTTTGATACTGGCCCACAATTGCATAATGCTGTTTGTTTGTTTTTTAACCCGGAGGTTGTAGTCTCTTTCATCTACTGAAATAAAAAACCCCTGAACTAAAGTTTTAACATGTCAGTAATTTCAGAAGTGATGTGACCTTTTTGCCACAAAAGTGGAGGTGACCAGAATCAACTTTATCATAAACCGGCATCTGTATCCTTTGTTTTAGTTGTTCTCTCACCAGCTTTGCTCACTTCCAGCCCATCCTCCACCTTGCTGCCAGAGTGATACTTTACAAAAGCAAATCTGAGTAATTCTGTTTTGAATTCTTCAGTGGTTCCCCGTCCTCTAAACAACTTGGCCTGGTACTCAGAGCCCATCATAGCCCGCTTCTCCCTGGTCTCCTCTCCTCACTCATCCTCCTCCATGTAACCATAAGTCTTCTTGTTTTAGTTTTTCTGAATGACTTTCATCCCACTGTCTCTTGCCTTTGTGCCTTCACACAAGCTATTCCATCTTCTTGGTGTGCTTTTCCCCACACGTGTCTAGCTAACTCCTGTCTGTTCTTCAGGGCTCAGCAGAAGTCACTTCCTCAGGAAGCCTTCCATAAGCCCTGCTGCCATTTAGAAATTCTCCCTCTGTTCTCCCAGAGTACTCTGTTCTGTTCTCAGCTCTATCATAACATTTGCTTTATTGGACCTAAATGCTGGCTGTCATGTGTGTTGTCCCCAAACAGCTGCCTGTGACTCTGATGGTTGGGATGAGCTCTTACTCATCTTTGTATCTTCAGACTTTTGCATAGTGTTTGGAACACGGCGAGTACTCAGTTAATATTCTTTGAAGCTCAGTTAATAGTGCATAGCTCTCTGAGCACAGTGAGTGGTCTGTCTTCTTGGTTACCTCAAAAGCTTCAGGTAGAACTGCACCTACCTATGCAAGGCACAAAGTAGGTGTATGATGATAACACGTGCTGGTTGATTAATTATAAATAGGTTGATTCTAAGACAGTGGCATTCTAGTGTCCCTCTCTTACTGCCTCATCTAATTAATTGATTGAGAATATCTGCTTAGGCTGTATAATATCCTTTTAGGGTGACGTTTTTCCAACTGTGAGTTGTGACCCATTAGTGGGTCATGAAAACAATAAGTAAATCAAGACTAGCATTAAAAGCAGAAAACATGAAATAAAATAGACAGGAGAATATCAGTGTATCACATGTAAAACAGTTAAGTAGTGCTTTGTTTTATTTCAGTTACATGTGTCGTGTTTACTGGGTTGCAATGTAAAAACAGTATTTCTTAGTATGCATTTCAGTGAGAAAGAAAAAAAGTCCGGAGAACAGTGCTTTAAGGAAAGAATGAAATCCTTCACACCCTGCCATTCCATTCTGGATTGAAGTGAATTAGTTGAATCAGTAAGATGTCCCCCACTGATCGCAAACTAGCCAGGAGCTTGTGCCTTTTCTGTCCCCACACTAAGCTAATCCTTAGGGGGCTAGGAATCTGTTCTGTAATGGAAGATAGTCTTCTGTTGGGAGAGAAATATCTTGAGAAAACAAGAAAAAAACCAAACACTGGAAACCTTCTATAGTGTTTTCTTTTCTTTTTTTTTAACTAAGGATTAAGTCATTAGGTAAAATTCACCCTACTGAGCCTACTTCCTCCACTTCTTTAGAAATGATGCTCTCTGATAAGGATTAGGGCTAGTTGATCTTTGAGATACCAGTTTTGTACTCCATTTTGCAACTGCAGTTATAGTCTGATTTAAGGCTAGAGTTTTGAATTAGCTAAGAATAAGCTATGAGGGTCTTCTAGCTGCAGGCTGAATCGACTACTTGGAGTCAGTTTTCAGGAGGAAATAGGACAGTTCGTTTTCTTCTGGTCTGTCTGAAAGTGACCCCATGACTATGGAGCTGGTCTAGAAGGCAGGGAGTGAAGGGGCAGGGGGCCATTGACCCGCTGACTATTTTCGAATCTGAGTTTCTGCCACAGCTTGGCAGGCTTTACCGTTTGTTTTTTACTCACTCTTTTGTTGGCATGTTTCTAAAAGCACAGCAGTGGCTGGGGTAGGTCAGCGTGGCGTCCAGGAGGTTGGTAAGTGTTTCTCTTGAGGGCAGTCTTTTCAGAGAATAGGATGATGTGGCAATTAGCGTCTGAATGGACTCCAGCCCATAGCTGGGCAGGGCCTGCAGTTTAGTGGAAGAAATATCCCTGAAAAGTAAAAGGGAGAAAGGTTTATTGATTGATTTACTTAACATGTATGATTCATAGAATGAAACTTCCTCTCAACAATAGTATCCTTCTAGGTTCTGAGGAATCTTTTCTCCATCTTGCTTTCTCCCTCATTCTCCATTTCAGTTAGTCTCATTAAGATCTGGATTCAAAAAAGCTACGTGGTCTCTTTTCTGATAGGTACCCCATTATTCTTTTCGAGGCTGAGTATGACTCCTCGTACCTGTCATACATTCATTAGCATTCTCTCTCTCCCCTCTGCTGCTTCCTTTCTCCCTCTCGCTCCCTCCCTCTACCTCTCTCCACTTAGCAGAAGTGAAAGAACTACTTGCTTTAAGAGAGAGCAGGCACGTGCGGTGACATCAGCTTTTGTGCTCTACTCCAGGGGGAAATAGTTAGGGCTTCAGATGCCTCGGTCTTTGATTGATCAAGTTCTGCAGGGTAGGTTTTCGTGAAGCACAGGCTAGTTACGCTATTCAGAGCCACTGTGTGGCCTTAGCCACCCTCTACCTTCTCTAAAGGCAAGCTGGATTCATCAGTCCAAAGCAAGCAAACGCTCGGCCACGCAAGCAAAACTGTGTGGAAAGCTCGGGTTTTTCACACAAGGTCCTGAATGCCTCAGCTTTTCTAGACTCGAGGCAATGCCCGAGAAAACTCCAAACAAATTAAATGTGAGGAGGAAGAGTCAGTGGGAATTTAAAAATTCTGCCTATCTTCTAAGTGGCTGCTGCCATGAATGTTTTCCAGGAGCATAGCCCCCTGCAGCAAACTGACCCAATACTTAGTGCCCATCTCATGGGGGGGGCTCGTAGGGGATTGATGGACAGATGAACTTGACAACGTGGCATGATGACTAGTGTAGGCCCTTGGTGGAATAATCAAGGTGGCAGCATTTGCCTCGGGGGCTGCAGACTCATTGCTTTTGTGTCCTTATTGATTTACGTAACCAGCGTTCTCATTCTGCTTTACAGAGTTATTATCTTAGGTGTATTAGGGATTGACCACATGATTCTTTGCAGGCCTGGTGATTTTTTTTTTTTTTTTTTGGTGGGGGTAAAATATTTTAAATTAAGATTCTAGAAATGGCAAGGTCTCATTACAAAGGAGTGAATCTCTGATGGTTGATTTTCAGTTTCAGTGAGAGACTCATGGGGGAAATATTTTGGGGGTGTGGAAGGAAGGACCACTTCTAGATATCACTTAAACCCTAAGGGTATAATGAGAATAGTTATTTGGAGAGTAAGAGACGTAGGTCTGGTCCCACTGTTCTGGAAAAGTCAGTGTAGATGCCTACCGGGCTCACAGTCATTTCTAAGCAGGCAGACCAAGCAGGTTTTCAAGCAAAAACTGTCGTGCAGGGTGTCTTATGATCATACTCACTCGTTCTTGTGCCTGACCAAAGGCAACTCTCCTTAGCTATTCAGTGCCCAAGTAGGTGACCAGTTTGCTGTAAGAACTCTGCCTATAGGGTGTGCTAGACTGGAGAGTATTCAAGCAATGTGTAAGATTCTGAGTCTGGTGTACTTTGAATATGAGACATAACAGACAGGGACCCCTAGGGTAGGATGGCAGAAGCTGAGAGACAGCAGAAAAAACAGTAGGCAGGAAGCACGAGGAGGTGGAAGCCGTGAGTAAGTAGAAATCATGACGTCACGTGGAGAATAGAGAAGAGTTAGGACTGATGATGGCAGAAGTTAGGAAGTGGAGAAGGTCAGGAGTTTTACTGGTGGGAATTAGGATGTAGAGAAAATCAGGGGTTGACGGCTGCAGGAAATAAGTAGACAGAGTCAGAATGGGTAGTGACAGGAGTTGATAGTGGCAAGAGCTAGGAGCTAGACGAAGTCAGGAGTTGACAGTGGCAGAAGTAGGCGGTAGACAGAGTCGGGAGTTGATAGAGGGGAGGTAGGAAGTAGATGCCCAGGAGATGACAGCGGCGGGGGCTAAGAAGTAGAGTTCGGTGGGCTGTAGAAAGTAGACAGAATCATGACTGGATACTGGCAGGAGCTAGGGTATAAAGAATACCTGGGTCGGTTCATTCCTCCCCCTGATCAAAACCCTAAAGCCCCCTCACCTCACTCAGAGAACAGGCAAAGTCCTTATAATAGCCAGAAGCCTCATAACCTGGCTTTCGCCACCTCTCAGTCCTTCTGTTCTAGGCCCCTCCTCCTGGCTCACTCTGCCACACTGGCCTCCTGCTTAGTTCCCTGCACCTGGAATGCTCTTCCTACCGATACCCACACAACTTGCTCCCTCACTTCTTTCAGGTATTTGCTTAAATAACACTTGTTCAGGACAGTCTTACCTGACCATCCTCCTTAAAATGCTAGCTCCCTCCCTAGAACTCCTTTTGCCCAGCCACCTGAAGTTTTCTCCTCCACGGCCATCTGGAATACTACATATTTTCCTTACTCATTTGATCCTTGTCTGTCTTCCCCACTCTATGAAGGCAGAGACGTTTGTCTTTTCTTCTTCTCTGCTGCTTCCCTGATGCCTAATCCAGTGCCCGGCACATAGTGTGGACTTACAGTTACCGGATAAATCAGTGAATGAATGAATAAACAAACAAATGAACTGGGTTACACTGCTCACTATGTTTCTAGTACTGTTCTCATTTTAAAGTCACGTGCCTGTTTATCACTTTGCCTGTTTATTGTTCTTTCCCCTCCATGGCTCTAATCTCTTTATGAGCAGGTCCCAGAGCTCACCGCTGTCCCTGCAGCTTGGTGCCTGGTAAACAGGACGTGTTCCACCCACGCCTCTTGAAGGCATGAGTGATAGCGTGCCGGGTAGGGACTAATGGGCCGGTATCTCTGTGGCGAAGGTGACGAGGCCACTGCCGTTGCTGCTGCAGAGTTTCTGGAGCCCTGTTGCATCGCTCCCTGAAGGCTGACCGCAGCTGCAGTTGTTTCCTACAGGATGTTTCCGGCTTCCTAAGGCCTTGTCAGGAGACTAATGGTTCAGTTTCCTGCTCCTCTTAATTTTCCCCTGTGTCCTTAGGCTCAGCTCCCATTAACTGAGGGCACTTGCCTCTGCTCCTTGCCTCCTGAGGGAGCCTGACGCATAGCAGCTCACACAGCCTTAATTCCCACGAGGGGATGCCAGGGGACACCACGCCCCCCTGCCAGCACATTAGGAGGCCCTCCGTGTTTGATGTTGGTTGAACCGTGTCTCCACCAAATTCACATGTTAAAGTCCTAACCCCCAGTACTGCAGAATGTGACCTGAATTGGAAATAAGGTCTTTACAGAGGCGATGAAGTTAAAATGAGATCGTTAGGATGGACCCTAATCCAGTATGACTGGCATCCTTACAAAAAGGGGGACATTTGGAGACAGACAGACAGGCAGACACACAGAGCACCCTGTGAAGACTGGACTTATGCTCCCACCACCAGGAGGAACTACAGGCCTGGAACAGGTCCTGCCCTCGCAGCCCTCAGGAGGAGCCAGCCTTGCCCATACCCTCATTTCAGACTTCTAGCCTTTAGAACTGCAAGACAAGACATTCCTGTTGTTTCAACCCCCCAGGTGGTGGTGCTTTGTTACGGTAACCCTTGCACGTGCAGAGACTGGTTCCCCGCAAAGCAGGCTGGGAACCATGTGGCTGGACACCCTGAGCGGGCCTGCTGGGCTGCAGCGGGTGGGGAGGGGGGCAGCAGTACTGTACTCACAAGATGCTAGGCCCGGCGGCCCCCCGGAAGGCGCCATTGTGTATCTTCTGCAGGTGCGCGTTTTCCTTTAGCTCCCTGTGGGGAAGGACAGTGTCCTCAGTGGAGTTTGCAGCTCATGTGTAAACAGTCATAGCTGTGCGCGTGCACGGTGAGACCAGCCTGTGGGCATGGTGCTCAGGGGTCGAGGGGACAAGGCGGGGCTGTAGGTAAAATGAGAAAAAGACGTTCTTGTCCTGGGAGAAATTGTGAAATCGCTGGTGTGCTTGGCTCCGCCTTTCCTCTGCGATTTTCCCCTCGCTCAGCGGAACGCTTTGTCCTACAACTTAAAGTACTCCCTACTTCTGTCCTGGAGTTGTGCACATTTACTACCAGGCAGCTGGGCAGGGAAGAAAATGCTGCTCCAGTGTTCAAGGCTGAAGGGTGGAAGTGCAGCCCACTCTGCATCAGGCCGTCATGACCTTGGAGGGCTCAATGTTTGTTCATAGTGATATACTGAAGTTTGCAAATTCTTTACTTAAAAGAAAAGTAGGGTCCATTCAAAGCTAGCCCCTTTCATCATGTTAATTGGACTCTTTTTCTTTCAGCTGTGCATTTCTCAGTGGGTTAGAAAGGGGAGGAAGGACAGCCTGTATAGAAAATTCCCCCTACCCCGGGTGCCCCACGGGTCTGTGCCCTGTGCCTGATCGTTGCCAGGTGTGTGTACTGTAGAAACAAAAGGGTTGAAGGCCACTGCTCTTCAGGAAGCCAAAAGCTGCAATGGGAGTAACTACCTGAGGGCTTCTGTTCCCTAAGCTCAGGACAGCTCAGGGTGAACTGCTCAGGACCAGCTGAGCCTAGCCCCGCTGAGCAGCTCCCGTCTGGGCCCTGACGCTGGTGTCTCCAAGGACAGGCCCCTCTCTGGGTGGACAAGGAAGCCAGGAGAGGAGTCCCTGGGCCCAGACTTGTCAGCTTACTTTTGATTGCTTTCTTCCTACAAGAGAAGGGTGGCGTCTCAAAGAGCATTCTGGAAAACGCTGGACCGTGGGCACAGTGTACATTCATTGCTGGCGTGATGATTTTGAGCATAGGGCATGATTCTTCTGCACCACTGTTACAGTGGCAAAACAAATACACCCACACCCACTGCCCCCTCCCTTGCAGGATCCTCAGTAATTACCTGGTTCATCTCATAGCTTTATATCTTCTTCATCGTCTTTCTGCAAGTCTCCACATCACCCCTGCCATTTAAAAACTGTAAAAGCCCCTGCATCTCACTCCCTCGGTGGCTGTCTTCCACATGCTTCTACTAAGCGTTTTCCTCGGAAAGCCTCGGCCCTTTCATCACAATGCACCCGTCAGTCTCACATCGTCCCATCCCCTGGGTGTATTTCCACTTTCAAGGAGATGAGGTTGTCAGAGTCAATTGCTGTTTAAAATCTAAATCAAGAGAAAAATTCCTTCCCAGACCTCCATGGCTCTTCTTCCTGATTTGATTTGTTTTAATTATGTTCAGTTATGGTCATAAATCATTGAAACCGGGCTCTGTGAGCAAATAATCCTCATGTCAGCCAGGTCAAATTAATTGTTCAAATTTCAGGACAGCATTTCTCATGTTTTATTAAAACTCAGATCTTTTTGTGTAATGATAACTCTGTATTATGTAACTTGGTCAAAAATAAATGCAAAAGTTATCTACCACAGTTTCCTGGGGGTTGCTTTTGGGAACTCTCCCAAGTGGCAAGGCCTTCTAGGTGTGAGAAGGATAGGAAGGATGACCTTTTGAAGTACAGTGGGAGAACTCCCAAACTCCAGCCAAGGCTTCCCTGATGGGGGTGCTCCGGGAATGGTAGGGCTGGGCTCTCGGACCCCTGGAGGTGTCTGGGGGTAACCTTCTGAAGCTGCTCCTCTCCACCCTGTCTGTCTTAGTAAATAACGCATTTGAGAACTTTGTAGGGCTATGGTGTCATTGTTCTGAACAACTTTGGACAGGCCTTTATATGAGGAAGGTGTCAGAAATGGGGCTGGACACGCCCATAGTTTGAAACTTTTGCTTGACGGTTTTGAAAACTACTCCCTCTGCCCTGCTCAACCCTTCAATGGGTCTGCTCGCTCTTGGAAGAGAATTCAGACTCCTTCTCACGGCCCCTCAGTCCTGATGACTTGCTCCTGCTGCGTCTCCAGCTTAATCTCTTCCAGTGTTCCCTTTGCCGATGACCCTTAAGTCGCATTGGCCTCCTCTCAATTCTTGGAGTTTATCACCTTCTTTTCTTGCCCACCTCAGGACCTTTGCACATGCTACCCCCTCTTTCTGTAATGCGCTTTGTCTGATGATTGCCAGTGCGGACTCCTTGTCATCCTTTAGGCTCAGCCTAAATATCATACCCTTGGTGAGGCTGTCCCTGAGCACCTAACCTAGAGTCAGTCTGCCCCTGGTACTCTCTCAGATCTCAGGGATAGGTTATTTCCTTCACAGTACGTATCACTACCTGCAATAACTTCATTTATTTACTTGCCTTTTCCCTGTCTCTTCTGCTAGTACAGAAACTTCGTTAGGGCAGGGACTGTTTCCACTGTACCATTGTAGACACAGCACTTAACGTAGTGCCTAATGTATTGGTGATGCTTAATAAGGGTGTGTTGAATGAATAAATGAATGGAATTAACTTGTGTTCTTGGCAAACTGATTTGTGTTCTCGGCTTCCTCTTTCTGGCGACAGTGAGGTATGGGGAATACATACTAACGGGACTTTGGGACTTTTCTAAGTCCACACCCATTCTGGCGCCTCTAAAGCCGTTGAGACACTGCTGACCAAGGACCTCCCACCTTACGCTCTGCTTTCCCTGACCTCCCAAAGATGTACTCTGCTGATTGGCCTCTCACCTCTGCTTTTGCTCTGGCTTCTTTTCCTTATCTCTTGTTTCCCCCCAATTTTATATTCAGTCCTCTTACTTTTCCTCCTTGTGCAGGTGACCTCAGCCACAAAGAACTTCACCCATCCCCTCTCCTCAGGTAATTCTGACTTCTGTGTCCCTAGCCCTGGCCTGCCCCTTCCAGCCCTCTGTCCTCCCTGCTAACCCATGAGCCAACCTTCTTTAAGCACCCCTCTCACACTTCCTATCCCAGGACTTTCAACGGCTTATTCTCTACAGAAGAGAGTCCAAATTGTTTACCCTAGCATCTGAGGCCCTTCCTGCTTTGTCTCTAACCCACATCTAGGACTTTCTAAAAGGTACTGTTTTCTGGTCTTTGAGCACATCCCATGCATTCTCCTCTGGGCTGTTCTTCTTGTCCTCTGACTGGAGTGCATTTTCCTTCCATCTTTGCCTGTCCAAGTTAGGCTCAGCTCAAAATCTACATCTCTCATGAGGCTTTCTCTAATCTCCTTCTCTTCTGCCTTCGAAATCTCAGAGGACTTTATCTCTCTTAGGCCAGGCACCATATTTTGCCTTCTGTTTTAGTAACTACTTAGTGTACAGTTTATATACCATTTGGAGATGTTTCTTCCTAGGCTGTAAGCTCCTGCAGGGCAAACACCAGGGCTTCTTCATCTTCATTTCCCCTCAAAATATAGCATGTTCCTTCAGACGTAGCTGATGCTTGGCAAACACTTGTCGAGTGAATAACAGAACGAGGCATCTGAGAGCACTGTGCCAGGAGAGGATAAGCCTCTGATTTTAATTTGGCAGAAGCAGATTCGATTGGCCAGAGTGAACCCTGCGTTGAATTCAAGCCAACAAGAAAATGAGGGAAAACCCACTCCATGGTAGGAAGGACAACTGTTTAAAAAGCTACCATTCCTTGAGCACTTAGTATGTGCCAGACCTGTGCTAACTGCATAAAAATACAATCTTATTTAATTATCATTCATTCATAATTAACTGTATAATGTAACAAATAATAAACGAGCACGTACTCTATGCCAGGCACCGTGCTAAGTACTGAGGATGCAAAACAGACCTTTTCATTTTGGTGGCCGTATCCTCAAAACAAGACTGTCAGCAGCTCCACTTTACGGACGAAGACACTGTGGTTTAGATTTTGGTTGAGTAACTTGCTCAGGGTCAAGGTGATAAATAATGGGATTGGAGTTTGAGTCCCAGTTCGTGACCGTTAGATCCATTCTCTTCTCCACCAAGCTATATAACATGGTATCCATATAATAGGGTCTTTGGTTAATATTTGTAGTTAAAATAAATAGTATATTGTATAGACTTAGGCTACTTAACTTCAGACCGGCAGCGTCAGCATCTCCTGGGAGTTTGTTAAAATTTCAAATTCTCGGGCCGTACCCTAGACCCACTGAATTAAAATGTCTGGGGGTGGGGCTCAGGAACCTGTGTTTTAGCAGTCTCCATGTGGTTCTTATGTGTGTTATTTGAGAAGCACTGGTGTAGACCATGGTTTATACATATGGCTTATTTATTATTAAAAGCCTTTTCATTTGTTTGTTTTCCTTAACTTTGGCTTTAGTTGAGCCTTTCATGTGCTGTTAGGTTTTACTGTACACAAGTGTATGCTGATTGTCACCCTACCCGGTACCTGTCATGGTTCAAGCAGCCTCCACCCTGGCCCTGCGAGCTTTGTGAATGAGCCTCTTTTTTAGGAAAGGAGCCATAGAAAGAAAGGTTGAGAACAGTGAAGGGAGCAGTAGGGATGCTTCTCTAAAGCTGAAGGCTGTTAACACTGGGGACTGGGGTAGGATGTGGTGAAAACGCAGGGCTCCCTCACCTTGTGGAATGTGAACTCCTTACTCCCCCCTGCGTCCCCCCCGCCGACCCAGCCCGCAGCAGTAAGGAGATGGGCTTCTGTGTGGGCCTGTTGTGGCTGAATCGGCTGGTAAATGGCATTATCCGATTTCTCTGCAGTGGGGCCGGGAGGAAGAATTTCTTCACTGAAATCACGCTGCCTCTAACACACCATCGACCAGAGCGAGGGGACTAGAGAGGGAGGCTGTGAGGTGGGGGAGCCTAAAGTAGGGTGTTGAATATTTCAGCAAACTGTCAACTTCAATGTATGCAGGCTGCATCTATCTTCGATATCAGGGTGCTCTGTGGTTTCCAGCCAGCCAGTTGCCTAGTAACATGCGTACCGCACTGAGGACCAGCCACTTGAAAGTTTATTTTTGTTCTGACTTAGTTGCTGAAGATTGAATGTGATCTGGTAGCCAGAGTAATATTTCATTTTTATTCATGAGCTGGGGAAATAAGCACATACTTACAGGGAAATCAGCGTTGTCCCATTGAATGCATGACTTTGTATTTCTTCAAATCCATTTCCATATAGTTTTCTAAGGAGGGAGGAGAGAGGTTTTAGGAGCGAAAGAAACACAGTTTGGAATCACACATTCTTCCTTCTGTGACATTTATTACTAAGATAATTACTGGCATTTACAATATCTAGCTCTGTTTCTCTAACATCTTAGATCCTTGGGGCCTGCTGAGATGAGACTGTGTTCTTGCTCTAGTTGGCTTCCACCTCTACCACCAGCACCACCACTAATTTGTTAAGTGTTTATTAAGTGCCAGATATTGATCAACCATTCTACATATTTATGATTTCATCCTCATCGTCACTTCCATTGCTCTGGTCAGAAACCTAAGCCTTCATGTTGTTGTGTAGCTTGCTTACAGTCAGAGAAAACAGTGGCAGAACTGGAATGTGAGGCTAGAGCTGTCTAACACTCAAGTCTTGTGTCTGGTTCTACAGGCCAATCTGGGCACATGGGCTTTCTGGGTCGCCGAAAGCTGAGGGCAGAAGGCGGCTCCAGTACTGAGTGAGTGTTTCTTTTTCTTGGATGAGTCTGTGGTTTTGCTGATGCCACATTTTGTTCCACAACCAAGATTTCAATGTCTGTAAACAGTTCTTTAAGACCCATTAGTGGATAGTGAAATCAATTTAGTTGGGTACAATCAGCCTTAAAAAAAATGGAATAGAACAGAATGGAACAAAATGGAAAATGTTAGAGTATGTTGCCTGTAATCGGGGTAGTACTCTTTCTGAAGTTTTGTTCCACCATTTTTGAATGTTATGTACATGTAAGTATATGTATACATATATACGTATAAGTCTGCCCAGAACAAGACATAGGAGACTCCTTAGAACACAGATGCTGGGAAACGTTAGAAGCAGAAAAGAGCTTGGAGAGGAGCAAGCGGCAACCCTTCATTTGACAGAGAAGGAAAGAGGCTCAGAGAAGAAAGTGACTTGTGTAAAGTTCACAATAGGTGGAAATGAGACCAGCACACACTGTGACTGGGGCTACTTCCAGCACATCAGTTTTGCTGGGTGATTTGACTCTTCTTCCCTGAGACAGCCACACGGCCCCTCTTCCTCCTCCTGTAGAGCTATGTTTGATGTCATGTTCTCGGCGTGGGCTTTCCTGGCCACCCTATTTAAACTGCCCCCCCAGCATTCCAGCGTTCTCTGTCTCCCTTCTCTGATTTGCTTTACTAGCATCTGACCCATGATTATATTACTGTCTGCCTCCCCGGCAGAATGTAACCTTTATGAGAGCAAGGATTCAAACTGTTCTGTTCATTGCAGAATCCCCTGCATGTAGGACAGTGCCTGGCGCCTGGGAGGATTACAGTATATATGTGTTAAATGAATTGGATGAACAAATGGTTATATATAAGATGAATTTCTCACTGTAAATCATGGCCAAGCAAGTTTGAAAGCCACAGTCTCAGATAGAAATATTTGTGTAAATTCTTTATGAACAATGCTGTGAGACTCAAGTGAGAAAGGGCTGTGGTATGATATAAAATTAAGTCACCGCATCTGGCCAGGTGCTAGCTTCCCTTTACAGGGTTGCTGGCAGCTGTACGCCCATGTCAGGGACAGGTTGGGGGTGACATGAGAAACAGTTTAGACACAGTCTCCAGCTACTCCTCCAGGTGGCTGCTGTCCACAGGGTTTCTCTAGCCTTTGTTAAATAAAACAAGCGTGGGATTTAACTTCATTGTATGTGTATGTGTGTAGTGTGGATGTGTGTAATATGTATGTATATAGTGTGTGTTTGTGTGTGTGTGTGTTTGGGGGGCGTCTCTTTCCATCAGCACACCTGAGACAAACCAGCATGTAAATAAGTATAGTTGGGACTCAGTGTTGAAGCTTGACACTTGAACACTGAAATTCAGAAAATATAGAGATTACAAAATAATTGAGTTCAAAGAGAGCAGGGGAGCATATTTAATTCGTTTTGTTAAACCCCCAGATCTCTCATAATGCTTGCTACCTAACACGAGTTCAGTCAACAGGCTGGGTGGAGCGGTGGCCTTGCCCTTCCACGGGAGGAAGAGCCTTTTCTGGCTTTCCCTGCTCCCATGGGCTTCCTTCTGGAATTCTTCTGAGTTTACAGCTTCACACACGAGCTCTTAACTATATTCTGTAATGGATTGTTGGATGCCATTTTTCAATAGTTTTCTGTCCCCGTCTATATTGTAGAATCCGAGGGGATTGGTATTTGGTTTATCTCTGTTGTCTTGTGGCATTACACACAACTTACACACAATCCCACTAGAATTCTCTTTTTATTTTACACTTAGAATATTGTCCCTTTGGCAGTCTCTTGTCATTTTGGGGATTGAATTCCTTTGCAGTAATCTCTTTTAGATGAAGAAATCATACCTGTCTTTTCTCTGGACTCCTTTGAAACTGGATTTCTTAGAGTCTAGGCCAGTGTCTGTCAAATCATTCTCCTCCATCCACTGAATGGGAATCATCTGGAGCTGCTGGCCACAAATGCAGATGCAGACCTACTGACCGGGTGCACTGCAGACCTACGGAATCAGAACCTGGCCGTGGTATCCAGGAAAGTGCACTTTTATAACAAGCTCTCCCAGTCAGCTTTGGGCATGCCACTTTGGGACCTTGCCCTAGGGTATATCACAGGATGGTACAGCTCTCATTATTTCCATAGCGCAAATCAGATGGTCTGCTGGAGAGAATTGAGTCCAGACTCTGGTCCCCTTACTGCTTTCTCTACCTTCTTAGTGGTGGAGCTACATGTGTAGAAAAAGTAGCCCCTGCCGTGCTTTTAGCAAAGCAAAGCTGCCAGCACTTGTCTGGATGCCAGTTCCTCATCACTGGTATGTGATACCCTGATCCTACTTTTGATACATATTAGGATTTTATGCTTGGCTTTTTTGGTGGGGCTTACAATGCCATTGCTCTAAGTGCAGCCTCGCAGTTAAGTCTGCAAGCCCTGAACCCAACTGCCTGGGCTTGGATCCCAGCTCTGCTACCTATGAACTGAGTTACTTTGGGCAGTTTACTTAACCTATCTGTGTCTCAATTTGGTAATCTGAAAACAGATGATAATAATAGTCTTGACCTCAAAAGGCTGTTGTGAGGATTAAACCAGTAAACATGCACTGAGTACTTAGAAATAGGTTCTGGAACAAAGTAAGTGCTTCATGTGTTGCTCCTACGATTCTTCTTCTTCTTATACTTAACAGTGGCTTCCAGCTGTCTGGCCAGAACAGAGAAAAAGATCTCCCTTTCCATGCTTTGGACAGCATGTCATGAAATACAGTGACCTGTCTAATTGAACTGTCATTCTCCTCTATTGAGGTAGGGGCCTTTCTTCTCCCGGGTAGAGCAGGTCAATTCAGTGGCCTGGGCTGCCCCGAATGAACTCATTCTCCGGGGGCCCTCAACCACCTTTGGTCTATGCTGGCACCATTGACATTTCTGTATCTGGACATTTTTTATGTCTTAAAAAAAATTTTTTTTTTATAGCCTGGGTTCTGCTTCTTTCAACTTTCCAAAGAAAATGGCTCACCATTTCCTTTTCAGCTACCGCTCTTTGGCTCTGTTCTTAACGTGTGCAGACAACAGAATGTCCTGCCTTGTTTTGATTAAAAGAGTGGCTTCCTTACTTCGGAGAAATTACAGACGTGAGTGGGAAACCTCATGCTGTCAGGGCTGCACAATGCTTTAAGTGCCCTTTAAAACATCTGGGGAGTCACTTCACACAGCTTTTTTCTAAAACATCGTGGTGTCAGAATTAAATGAGGAGGGCTTCCTTTGCTTTGAGGATGCTGTCACAGGCATAGAAATGAATTTTTCTCTCTCCTCTATTATAATAGCTGCACCTTACTTTAAAGCAGTGTCTACATTCTCTATTCAAATGTCAGAAATGTTGACTCAGACAGAGAGAATGGCACCTTTTTATTCAAAATAAGATTCGGGCTTTAGAACTTAATCATAGATGACACTCTAATTCTGAATACTGCCTTGTAGCAAACTCCAAATAGTCCTGGGGCTTTAAAAGCATTTCTGGGGTTATATTAGCAGTCTTAGACATTCTGCCATAGTTCCCACTTGATCATGTAGCCACCTAGTTTTTGGATGATTTCAAAGAAGAAAACCTAATTTAGGTTTACAGATCCTTGGGGTCTCACAAAGTGACCCCGTTGAATGCGGAGGTACCTCACGCCTTAGGATCTGGGGTCTTCCCATGTCTTTACTGAGGACACAGAAGACATATAAGATCCATGTCCTTGAGAGGCTCACAATCTCAATAGGTGAAAACATGAAGTAATGAAAGAATAATACAAGCCAGTAGACATTCCTTGTGAGCACGTGTGGTACACAGAAATGAGAAGTCTTGGAGAAGTCCTCCTGGGTTGGAGAAGTCAGAGAGGCTGCATGGTGGAGCTGAGACTTGAGTCAGACCTTGCAGAATTAGGAATATTTGTTACTGAAGGGGAAAGCATACTAGTTTAGAAAATATGCCTCGTGGTAGTATATCTATAAGCAAATTTTTATCGAATGACTATATAAACACCATCCTAAAGCAGAGGGATCCTATCCTATCCATCACCACTTTCTTCATGCAGTACTTTGCTGAAGTCCTTTTATATCTGAATGATTCCTCATGTATGAAGACACTTCTTTAGTGGATACCCTGGCAGTCATTGTATGGGTAGCTGTCTCTGGTCACTGCTATATGCTGCCATGACCCTACTTTTGGATGTTCATCAGAATTCCCCCATTTCTGTGGGGCTCGCAGTCTCTATAGCAAGGGATTCCTCTCTCTGATATGAGCATGCCTCTTGCTTTTCAGCAGTACTGAGTTTTTTTCTGTTTCCCTCCACCACAGCCAAGTTCATGTCAACTTACCACATGCAACAATAAAAAGGTGACAGGTATCTAAAATAATGATGACAGCAATGCAGTATAATATATTGAATAAAATTTTAGAAAAATCCATGTTTCATAGTGATGCTTAAAAAGAGAGCAAGACACTATGGAGAACAGTATGGAGGTTCCTTAAAAAAC